AATATGAATATCCTAGGTGACGCAGCTAAGAACTCTTCCACACCTGGAACCTTAAAAGTCTAGTAATCCACCATCACTGGCCATTCCTGAACCACATCAGGCTCTGGTCCTTGATGCCTCTAGTTTCTGATAATCAATTGCTCTTCTCTTTTGTCTTTTATAAACATGCAGTGAACATTTTTAAGTACCTACCATCTGCCAGGAATCCTCATGGGGTTTACATTTTAGAAGGGTTCTCATTTATAAGAATAAAAACACACAATAATAGAGCTTTACTAAGATGAGTGGGAAGGGGCAAGGAAGGGTACTTTCAGCCAGGTGGTCAGGGTGGACCTGCTTGAGGAGGTGACATTTAAACAAAGATTAGAATAATCAAATCCAGAAAAAGGACATATTTAGGTGAAGTCCTTTAAAAACAAGAGCAAATCTAATGCATTCGAGGAATAGAAAAAAAGACCACTGCAGTTGGAGTCAGAGGAGAGTGGTGGGAGACAAGATCAAAGAGAGGTGGTCTGGGATGCCACAGAAGGCTTTCTGCCAGGCAAAGGAGTCTGGACTTTATTTCAAGTGTAATCAGAAGACAAGGAAGGATTCTAAGAGAGAAGTGATATGATTTATGTTTTATGATTTATGTCACTCTAGCTGTGTTGTGGAGAGAGGAGGCAAAAGTGGAAATAGGAAAACCAATTAGGAGCTATTACAGGAGCCCAGAAGATGCTGTCTGTATTAGGGTGGTGGCAGTTGAGAGAGAAAGAGACAGATTTTGGAAATGTTTTTGAGGGTTAAAGTGGACCTAAATTCTTTATGGAGGAGACATGAGAATGGAGGAAATGGAGAAGAACCATGAATATCTACATGCTTTTTGGCTTGAGCAAATGGTGGATGGTGATGTCACTCAATTGGAAAAAGCACAAAAGTACCCAGAATTTCATATTACTATATTATTTCCTTGTTTTCCTATGCATCCTTAACCTCACAGATCATGATTTTCTCTTCCCAATATTTTCATTTTCCTTCCCTACTTAGTCTTTAGTCCTTCTTATCCAAAAGAACTTCCTCCATCTACTGCCTCTACTCATATCCACTCCTCAGTCCACTGCAGTCTGGTTATTATTTCCTTTTCCTAATAAACTCCTTCTTTCTGGACATAACACTGACCTTGTTAAAACCAAGGAATTTCTATTTTTCTGGACCTCTCTCTAGCATTTCAAACTATTGCCAATTTCTCCTTGACTTCTCCGAAACTACTTGTTCCTGGTCCTTCTGCCTCTCTGGATGTTCTTTTTTGTGTCTTTATTTCCTCATTTTTTCAATGTTTGCATTTCTATAAAGTTTCAGAACAGGTCCTTCTCTATTCTTACTCTATACCTTTTATCTTGAGGATGTCATCTACTTCCATGGACTGTCACTCATTCTGACGATTCCAGCACATCTTTCTCCTGACCTCTCGACTTCCCTGTGTATTTATGTAGTAGAAAGCTTCATTTTTATATCCTATGGATACTTCAAACACCATCTTTCAAATTAAACTAAATTCCCTCCTCAACCTATATCTCTACATCTTGGTGAATGGTACCACCATCTTTCCATTTATCTGAGCTGTACATCTTCTCCTGTTCCTTAATCCTGCAGACATAATCAATAATAAAATTCAATTTGTTCTATACTCTCAAGTTCTCTTGAATCCTTCTCCTCTCTCCATTTCTATTCTTGTTCCTTAGTTTAGATGTCCATCACGTCTATCCCCATAATGCTGAAACAGCCTCCGAGACAGTCTCCCTGCTTATTGTGTTGCTCACACTAATAAATTCTCCAAACTGGAGTGAACTTTATAAAATGGACATTTGATCACCTCACTATGCTCCTTAAAACTCATCAGTAGTTCTCCACTGGCTTTAGGGTAAGTTGAAACTTATTAGGAGGATATATAAGACTTTTCATAATACAAGACCTTGCTGATCTTTCTGGGTTCTGCTATGCATTCATACAAGACAGAATCTATTATTTGCTGGGCTCTGTCCTTCACCTTCAACTCTATGGGCACACCTTCTTACCCTCAGGACTTTACACATAATACTTTCTTTGCCTGGTCTACATTTCTCTTTGAGTTGCCCACTTGTCTGGATTATTCTACTTATGCTTCAGATCTACTCTCTAAATTCATTCTCTATGGTTAGGGACTGTGACTATGCCCAGTGAAGGTTAAGTATGTACCTTTCCAATGAGCTCCCGTGTTGTGAACATCCTAGTATTGTGTGATCAATTTTGTACTTATCTGTCTCCTCATTAAACTACAAGATCCTTCAGAGGAGACTATGTTATTCATCTTTGTATTCCCAGTGCCTAGCACGGTACCTGACACATAGCAGGCACTCAATAATGAATAAAGAAAGTGGAAGAGTTGGGTTTCAAAGTCAGATCTCTGTCTGGCACAAATCTCACATTTCTTCATGCTACTTCTTAACATCTTGAGCCTGAAAATTTAAAAAAATCTAGGTATATTTTTGCCTGTAACTAATTAAAATACAGGCAAATAGATAACTAACTCCATGAGAGTTCAGTTAATCATGTATTTCTTTAATAGCCTTTATTCATCATTCCACCATTCTGCTCATCAAAGTACTTTGGGTTAAATAAATCTAAATTGAATGATCTTTTGATACACTTTTACATCCTTTCTACCTTTCACCCTGTTCCTTCTACAACACCTGAAAGTAAGCAGAGTTAAGTACATTGGGAGTCAGGTAAATTTTATTTGTCTGGCAACTGACACTATAAAGTGATGTGTCAATAGCATACTCTTTCCCATTATAATTTCTTCCAAGGTTTCTATGGATAGGTATTAAAATTTCAGTGCCAAAATTTAACATTGCAAAATTCAGCTAAAATTGAAATTTTTATGTAGTGAGTTCAGTACAACACAGAGTTCTGTAAATAGAAAGAATCTTAAAGATTCTGTAGCCCAGCACTTCTGCTTAGCTTTCATGAGGAAATGGACAGGAGAAGACTTGTAGAGCTTACCCAAAGTCATCCAGCCTATTAAAATTTCCTACCTTTCAGTTGGCTGGTCTCTCCTCAATGACATAGATACCCTATTATCTTCCATCCAAACAAATTATCTACATCAGAACCTATCTAACTATTTACATAGTGCTTATCTTTATGATATTGCCTTTTTTGATATCCTTGTTATAAAGAGGAAGGAACTGAAAACTAAGCAAGGCTGTCTTATCCAGGGACATAGGAGAATTAGTAAAAGAGACAATTAGTACAAAGAGATGGGCTTCTATTTGTACTGTAGCCTTGTAATCACACTCTGTTCTCTGAGTGCCCCAACGCTAACCCAAGCTTATTTGTACTTCTGGGGCCTGGATTCTATTCAGTTCTATGCCTTATTTAGTCTAAATGATTTCCCCAGCTCCAGTGTGTATTTTTTGAGCTTTATTTTAGAAATATCATACTTAAACCTCCACTCAAATTGAGTTTGTTTTAGTTCTAATGCTGAGGAATGAAGATTCTGGGCAAAAGAAATAAAGATGATGGGTTTTTCTAGGCTTTACATTTCAAGAATGGTTTTCTCAAATGGCAACTGGCAGTATACCTTATTCCTCAAATTATGACATTTTCTCTGGGAATTAGAATTTAATTGGGATAATTGGTTTTCACGGCAAGCACAGATTTCTTTCCAAGAGTATCAGTTTGATAATATTTTACCAGCTAAAGCTACGAGACCAAATATAAACCAGTTCTGAGAAACAGGAAGTGAACCTGACTGGTCTAGTCTGCATGTCCCTGGTAGTGACGCACATACAGAAATCAAATTAGGAAAACAAGATATGTGGGTGTGAGGGAGTTGATAATAATTCAGGATGCTACAACACAAGCGAGAACTCCTTTAACCAAATGCCATTCATTTTAATACCACCCTGAGAAGTTTGATTTCCACGTAACATACGAGTGATCAGAAAGCAGGACGAGCTTGAGTTCCCTAGCAACAGCATGTACTTCTGAGACAGTCATTAGCCTTTCAGTTAATCCTGCCAACCCCTTACTGCTAATGTATGACTGACATTTAAAAAAAAAATGATGTTGCAGAAAGTGCTTTGATTTCCAGGAGCAAAATGCACAGGAATAATATATATACACATATATAATATATATGTGTGTGTTTATGTTAAGTTGTCCTGAGAACTGCACTCAGGTAAAAGAAGCAATTTTCCTACATGCCCAGCCTGTCCCCATGTCCCCATGTTCACTGCTTTTAGTTCTATGTTTCTGAATCCCCTCCCAGTAAAGGGCAGCAGAGGTGAAAATTCTTCAGACTTTAAGACAGTCCCCTCATCGAATATAAATCATAGTCTGAAACTGGGGTGGGCAGTTTGTGTAGTAGGACTGAGGCTGACAGAGGGTAAGGTGGGAGGGAAACCGAAAGGCATAGTTTTCTTTCTCCTTTAAACAGAATAAATTACTCTGGTTGAAGCTGCTTGGGAAAGGAGGGTGGTGAAGGGAAAGAAGCTATTTTTCCTATTGATTGTTTAATTGCACCAGAGGCTGTTCGTCCAAGGCCACTGGCCAAGAGCATTATGTCTGTGGCTAAAGTGAGGTTGGGCAGGTTTCCATACCCTTTCCTAGTTTTAAACAAGACAACCCATAAAGCTCAGCCAGGCTATAGGAATAGAGTGTCTGTCGACTTCTGCTACTCAGCTGTACCCTAAAGCGCCAGGGCTGATGGGATGACGGTTTTCTGACTCTGAATCATTGCCTCTAGCTCGGTCCTTGGTTCAGGATGCACTACTCCTCCGTGTAGCCTGGGTCACCTGCGGGGCGTTATTCGAACGGTACCTCTTGCCACTGGTCATCCTTATTGTGGCCTGGGTCCCTTTCAGCTGGACACTGGGCTCCTTCAGTTTGGCCAGGGTGATTCCTAGTTCTCCCCGCCTCCCCACCTAACCCCCTGCGCGCTCCCTTCCCAAGGCGACCACCTGCGCCGCCCCACTTACCATCTGCCCCGCGGGGAGGGCCCCCCGGGGTGGCGGAGCCCTCCCTGCTCCCGGGCGGCTCTGGGGGAACTCGGTGTTTGCCTCCAGCCCTTCGCTACCGGAGAGATCAGGTTCCTCCCCTCCTCCCCCTCCAGCTCCGGCCGCCGCCGCCGCCTCCTTCTTGCATGACACAGCAGAACCGCAGCTGCCGCAGCAAGTCCCAACCATCCGCCCAGGAAGCGCCGCAACCGGGACTCGGGAGGGGCGGAGGGGGAACCAGGCAGGGGCCACCGCCGAGGGGGATGCTTGCCCCGGCTTTGCACCACACACTCTTTTCCCAGCCCAGGGGCATGGGAACAAAATCAGGCTCAAGCCGACCAGGCCAAGCCCATGAGGAAAGCTGGGGGTTCGGCGTCAGAAGGGATGGGACCAAAGAGAAGGGTGTGAAGGAGACCCCAATTGAGGCAGGTCATTGCAGGGGAAGAAGGGGAAGAAGAGGCCGAGAAGTCGAGGGCCAGACTGTGAAGGAGAATAAAGGAGGTCAAAGAAAGGTAAGGAGGTAGAGTTGCAGAGAAGGGAGACCGAGCTGGGAAGGGGAGGGGACCTGCTTTGGAAGGAGGACTGGGAGGGAGACTTTGGGGGGGCCTGAGCTAAATATCTAGGCGGCACAGGGTGAATTGGGAGGCAAAAGCAGGAAAGGGGAAAGGGATGGAAGAATTAGGCGTTAGATAGTAAGGTAAATATTGAGGGACATATTAAGGAATCAGAAGGGATGTAGTGGAGATCATGCATCATGGCTGATAATCAGAGGGAAACTGATGAGATGGAAAGAGATACAGTCAAGGCAAAGAAAACATGATCTTCCGCCCCACTCTTCAGTTTCCTATAAAGTTTTTCATAATGCTGCCAATCCAACAGGGAGTTTTCCTTATAAATTGAAAAGCATGAACTAAAACATCACAAGAGCCATTTAGCTTGGATTTACAGGATAAAATCCTATGATCCACACAATCTTTAAGGCAGAGATTTAGGATTGCGGGTTGTGATTCAATAACACGGAAGGCTCTAAAAACTGATGTTATGGATTCACACATAACTGGACTTAAGTCTTTCAAAGTGTCTGTTAAATGCTTCAGTTAAATGCTAGAAATGATGACAAAGTTATTGGTTCAAAATATCATATAAAGGCACAGACTTTTTCTCTGTATACAAACTATATATAGGTAATTCCTAGCGTCTAGCACATCCACTATGATTAAGGGGAAAATGTGTTTTTCTGATTATTTGATTTCCCACCAAACACACTACGCATTTTACAGCAGATCAGCTGCTTCTATTTGAGAGAATGTGGTCAGAAAAGTAATGCAAAAGCTGCCACTTTGGTTTTGTCTGTACCTTCCAGGTCATATCGTCGTACCTCACTTCCTGACACAAACAAGTTTTTACTGTTGTCAGCAACAAAGTCCTAATATAGCTGCGGAAGAGAAAAACTGCATTGCATTGCCTCCTGCAAGCATCATCAACACAGTTACCGGAGGAATGTTGATTCCAGAAAAGCTTTAAAGCTGGTACGATGGTAATTATGTATCAAATGCCTGATTCTATTTCTGTTATTATTGTTTTGTCATTTCTGAGCCACCCAAGAACTGGCTGAACTCGCGGAGGGACAAGTCTGGTTCTTCTTTTTGCCTCGGTAAAATTTAATCAGACCTGATAGAAAACTCATTGCTCTAGGGGAAAATAAAGTAGGAGCCACGAAATGTCATCTTAACAGAGCGTGGGTTTTGTGACTGTAGGAAAGGATTTAAGGACGCTCCTTCTGTTCTGTTTCCTATGTAATGAGCAAAGGCTACACGCACGCACAGACGCCACAGCTCCCGGATGCTGTGGCGCGCTCATCTGGGCTTCTGCAGCGCCAGGAGCCCCTCCGGGATGCTGTGAGGGGCTCTCGGTGGGTGGTGGTGGTGGTACGAAAGGCTGCGGCCGCCGCCGCCAGTTCTACCGCTGCTGTTGTTGCTGCTGCAGTCACGTGGGAGGCCCTTTAAGTTTCCATAGAGAGGCCTCTCCGGTGTCACATGATGGACATGATATAATGAAACAACATTGTGGAGAGGAAAGCATTAGGGGAGCCCACGGCTACAAAAACAAGTGAGTGAGAAGAGGTGGGAGGAAGAGAAACTACGCCACCTCCCCTGCAGCCGAGCCGCACGCAGCAGCTCCCCGCGGGAAGTGGGCGACGCCGGCGGGGGGGAAGGGAGACCTGGTCCCCAGCCCCGGCCGAGGGGACCCCCGCCGCCCACAACCAAGAGAACAACTTTTAGCCGGCAGCCTCGGCCAGCACTGCACCTGTCTCCGGAGCCTCCATCGCTCCTCCTGATGATCAAAGAGGAATTCTAGAAGACTGTGCTCTACAAATATACATGCGCATCGTTTTCCCCCTTGCGTCTCGTCCGGAGGAAGGAAAGAGAAAGGGATTAAAGCAGCAGCGTGTGTTCAGCCCCAAGGTAAGTTCTTGAGGGTGGGGAAAGCCGGCCCAGCAGGACTTCGGGATGGGAATTTTGTTCTCCGTTTGGACCTCTCGAGATGAAAAGAGGCATCCCCTCACTGCTGCGAGGCGGCGGGCTTGATGGTCCAGCAGAAACATTTGCACTGTGGACTCTGGTTATTTCCTCTTTCGCACGCCCCGCGGTCCCACCCTGGGACTCCCCGGGGGCCCCTCGCCTCCCCCCGGAAGGGCCCGCAGGTCCCGGCCAGGATGTTGGCGAGCCGGGCGAGGAAAGGTAGGGGTGGTGGCGTTAGCCGGGAATGCCGAGGCGATTTCGCCATGTTTGTGTTGCTAAGAGCACTTTTTTCCCCTTTGAGGTGGCTTGATGCCACATGGCTCCTCCGGAGCTGCTGCCGGGTTGAGAGTGTGTGTGTGTGTGTGGTTTTTTTTTTTTTTCAATGTCCGCATTCCAGCTAATGTTGCGCAGATAAAATTCAAACTTGAGGTAAACAGAGGAGGAGGAGGAGGAGGGGAGGGAGGGGGGGAAGACTGTTTCCATTTCGAGATTCCACCTCTTCACTCCGCGGAGACTCACATCCCGGAACCGCCAGAGTACTTGGTCCCGTCTTCCCCCCTACCCCACCTTTGCTGACCACCAGAAATCTGGCGACGGGGGTGGGGGTGCTCACAGAGGACGCGGCGTCTGCGTTCTAACGGGGAAAAACAGCACCCCCGGGCACCCAGGCCGTTGGCTACCTTCCTCGTTCCACTGGGAGGGACGGAGGATGCCCTGCTGAGCTCTCGAGTTGGGGGACCGGAGGATCGCGCTCTTGGGCGGGGCTGGGGGGGGTGCCTGATCCCCCTCTCACTCCCTCTTACTTTAGGGAACCGGACGGCACCGCTCCCACCCCACCCCACCCCAGGCGCAGGTTCCAGAAGGCGGGCTGGGTGGGTCTCCAGGTTCCGATACGGTGGGTGGCGTAGCAGGTGTGTGGTGGGCATTTCTATTTTCTAAGTTGCATTTGATGGGACGACGTGGGGAGTCTTAAAAAGCGAGCGGATCGGAGAGCTGCGTCTTTTTTCTTTTTCCCCCGACTAGGGAGAAAAATGAAGACAACCCCTCCCCACCCCGCTTTAAATATCTGATTCATCTCGAAGCTAGGCTGAAGGGGGAGTAGGGATGTGTAAGGGTGAAGATGAGGTTCGTCATGTGGAAAACTGGGTTTCTGACAGCTCATGACCACCCTACCCTCCCTCCCGCGGCGGAAGATGGGGGGAGGGGGGGTCCGAGACGGGCGATGTACCCCCTCCCCGGGGTAGGAACAGCGCGGGGTCCCGAAGTGCAGGAGGGTCTGCAGCCCGGTCGCCGGGGAGTGTAAGGGGCCGGGAGGAGGCGGCCACGTGAGGAGGGTCTGCGGAAGCGCCGGAGCCGAGAGCTGTGGGGTGAAGTGCGTAGCAGAGTCGTGACGGGGGCTGACACGAAGCAGCCGTGGGCGGCGCGCCGAGGAGGAGCGGAGACTCGCGCGGGCCAGGGGCCCCAGCTCCGTGGCGACGCGGCTTTATTCCGAGCGGCGGCCCGAGCCTCCCACGCCAGCGCCGACGTCCGGGCCGCGGGTGGGTGCGCACTCCAGGGCCCTTTCCCCGGAGACCGTTTCCGGGCGGGGTCCCCGGCCCGGAGCGAGGGCTGTAAACAGGGTGGTGCCCTCTGCCCTCCCGCCCCCGGCCGGTCGGGGCGCGCGGCCTTGGCGGCGCTCAGGGTAGCGGAGGCGCGGCCGCGGCGCCGGGCAGCGGCAGCGGGGNCTGTCTGTGTGTGTGTGTTTGTGTGTGTGTGTGTCTGTGTGTGTCTGTGTGTGTGTGTGTGTGTGTACGTATGTGTTTAAACCTCCGTAAGTGTTTTTGATGAACGAGAAAGGTTGAGAGGTTACAGAACTCTAGCTGGCTGGAATAGATAGCTGTGAAACCATCCGTCTTTAGAGACGAAATAGCTGAAATAGCCAACAGGTGTTGATATGTCAGTAGAGGCGAGTAGCTATGTGCTGACATTCCCTGACGTTCTTGATGAAACGTTGTTACCCCCATTTTGCAGGTGACGGAGTGAAAGCTCAGGAGGTTAAGTAAGAGTTGGTCAGTGACGATCCATAACTAGAACCCAGGCAAGCTGATTCCAAAACCCAGTCTTTCAGTCATTACGTAATGTTACTTTGGAAATCTACCTTTACCTAAATGGCATGTGTTTGTGCAAATAGAAATAGTTTTGTTTTTGCCTAAAGACCAGCCAATTTATCGAAATATATATGTATTTTTATTTGCAAATTTTTGTTTGTATGAAAGGGAGAAGAATCACCTGGTGAATTTGTTGAGACCTATATAGGCTAACATTTTCCCCAAGTTTCTTTGAAGAGGGGATCCCAGTAATTTGGAGAGAACTGATTCTGTGGAAGTTGTTTTGAGACTTGAACATACGTGTAAAGTGAAGTGAAGAGTCTAGAAGATGCAGATAATTTCCCAGGATTTACACAAGCATTCACAGAAGTCCTTTAGGTTGTTGGACACGATATGATTTTGTTGGTCCTTGGCTGGTTGTAGCAGAACGAGCAAGGTAGTATACGGAGGAGCAGAAGCTTTGCCTTGAAAATTTAGGAGGAAAAAAAAAACACTCTGGTCTGGAGTACAGAAGTGTTGTTTCTGCATCCCCTTCTCTCTCTTATTTATTTCATTTTCCTCTGTCAGATAAACTCTTGGTGGGAATATTTAGATGTGGGAGTAATCTATTTGTTTTGAAAATGTGTTCCTTGATATATTCTCTAAGGATATTAGAAGTAAAACTCACAGACAATAGAGATTTTATCCTTAAAAACAGAGGGTTCTAATTACAATGTTTTTGTGACCAGTATACATCATTAAGTGGTACTGCGTCACAAAGAAATGTCTTCATATTCCTACTAATGATTGCTTACTAACACTTAGCTGTATGGCAGATGTAGGCAAATTACTTAGCGAGTTTCGGAGACTGGTTTTCATGTGGCTTGCAGTTTTGGTTAGGGAAGCTTATAGACAGACATACCACTAGGGCAAGCCTGATATAACTGAGTGTAAGCTATTTTTGGCATGAAAATAGCTCTCTAACCCCATCTCGCTCCCTCCCTTGTCATCCTCATCCCTGTTGACCACCAAAGATACTTTAATCCAGAGTTGTCAAACCACTTGTGGTTCCTGTGGACAGCTCTGTCTTCTGCTTCTAGGGTACCTCCTTTAGGACTTTACTCTTAATTTCTCATGAAAGTGAAAATATTAGTCACTCAGTCATCTCTGACTCTTTGCGACCCTCTGAACTGGGGCCTGCCAGGCTCTTCTGTTCATGGAATTTTCCAGGCAAGAATAGGGGAGTGGGTAGCCATTCCCTTCTCCAGGGGACTTTTCTGACCCAGGGGTTGAACGCAGGTCTCCCACATTGCAGACAGATGATTGTCTGAGGCACCAGGGAAGCCCCAGTTTCTTCCTGAAAGGTATTTGGAAACATCCTGCCGTGTCACCTCCATTCCTTGCACAGATGTGTCTCAGTGCAGTTTTCCACAACATATATTGTTTTTGTTTATACGTTGGACACCTGTACTGAATTGACCTTATAAAAGGTTGAAATGCTGTTTATTTGTGTACCACTGGCACACTGCAGGCACCCAAGTTTATTACGTCAGTCTAAATTGAATTTGAGTTGCATTATTTGGGTTGATCACTCATCTTCATTCTTTACCATCCTCACTTCTGAGGATGCTAGGCTGAAACCATGCATCTTTGAACATAGAATACAGGGTACCACCAACATATTCCAGTAAAAGGAGTAGTAAGGACAGGACTAAATGTAATCAGCTTTTCACTTGTTTCCCAATTTCATTCTCAATTTGCCAGGTGGTTACTTGTGAGCTCTGGGAGAGATGTTCAATATTACCATTTTTTAACTTCCTTAGAAAGGAAGAAATGGCACTATATTATTGATGAACAGACTTCTATGTATCGTGGCAGAGTACAGATGCATCATCACATTTCATTACACTGTAACTTTCAGATTTAGTATTACAGAGTTTGTAGAGTAGCACTGTCCCATAGAGCTTTCCAGAATGATAGGAATGATTTATAATGATATGTTTATAATGACTTAGAAGTGATAGCCACTAAGCACTTGAGGCTAGTGAGCCACTTTCAGTGTGGCTAGTGTGACACAGAACTAAAGTTCTCATTGATTTAAAAATAGCCACAAGTGGATGGTGGCTGCTGCATTGGACAGTTACAGAGGATTTGCTTACGTTTGAGTCTAGTGTTTGATAGGTAAACATTAACTTACAGTATTCTGTCTTTAAAAGAAAAATCTTGATTCATTTTATAGTGCATAACACTGTGCTTCCCATTCATAGATCATAAGGTGTTTCCAGGATATTTTTAACGTATGTGAGGCCTTCATGTTGTCGAGCATCTGTCTGTGTTCTGTGGACTTTTCATGGAGTTCATGTGGTCTATTTTCAGGAGCAGAGTGGAGTGATTATGGGTCATTATGGTTTCGAGTAATTATTTATAACATCAAATAGATTTGAATCCTTGGTGTATAAACTGATTGGAAGTCCCATGAGCTTTCCTTAGATGTATTGTGAAGAGCAGGAGCTATGTTTGTCTTGCTGGCCATTATATCCCCAGTGTCCTTGTATGGTACCTGACACAGGGCAAGTGCTCAGAAACATTTGGTGAATAGAAGAACGTTCAAATAGTTTAACACCCTGAATTTAGCCTCAGAGGGTATGTTGTGGAGCTAAAGAGGAGGCCGAGACTCAGTGACTGCACTGTAATTTACAGTTCTTCCAAGGAGTGAATGTGGTCTCTCCAGGGACATTACCCTTAGTCTAGTGACTTTGATACCTTTTCCTGTAGCAGGATACATAGCAAGAATTGTTACCCCTATTTGAGGACAGATTGAAAAATAAAGTCACAAAAAGCTTTGGAGCTCAGGTCACAGGGAGAGGGTTGGAGGTG